CCTTCTAATAACAGTTTTCATTTCACCAGCTGCGGTATATATCGTCTCCTTTTGTGTTTCAAGTGGCCATTTGTGTTGTTATAAGGGATGAGGTATAATGTTCATGTCCAAATATTTCTATCCTAGCTCTTTACTGGTCAGACCACCAGTGAAGATAAATACAGTCTTTGAGCCCAGTAATGTGGCATGACTTGTTTAAGGTCACCAAAATAGACTTTATTTGGATTTTCCCACTTAGGGCCATGCAGCACTGACAACGCAGGATTACAAGTCTTCAGAACTGTCCAATGAATAACGTAACTCTCAGTTCATATGACTATTGAGCTGTTTACAACACTTGGTTTGTTTGTAGTAAGAGTATAGGTTCTGTAAGAGAGCATGACCTTGATGCCGCGTTTGAGTTATTTTCTATATGACTGTTGGCTTATTTACCCAAACTAAAATATTGTTATTTTGATCCAGTATTTTGAGCTTGCTGAGGGACACAACAAGCTCAAGTTGTATCTTAAAAGATCCAGTGTGTAACATTTAGGAGAGGATCTATTGGCAGAAATGGAGTATAATATTCATAGGTATGTTTCTGTTAGTGTATAATCAGTTGAAAATAAGAGTAGTTTACGGACAAACCAAACACTGGCTGTAGATAAGGCCTACACACTTCACAGCCCATTTTCATTCCCAGTTAAAAATAACGCTTCACAAAAAAAGAGACAAAGAGAGCTTTTTAACTGATTTATTTGATTGGATTTTCAGTTCAATTTCAAATAACTTTCATACATTTCTATCATTGTGTGCCTATGGAATAAAAGCGTTGGAATACAAATGCTGAATATATCAAAAAACAGATTTTGGCAGACCATTTGAGCAATGAGAAGCAGGTGGAGTGCAGAGTAAGGTTGAGAGGTGTGTGCACATACACACTCACACAACCACATACATACACACTCACACAAACGGCTTTGTTCCCCCGGGTAGACCATGGAGCCGTCAAAACCACTCTGATTCTGAATTAGCTCTGATTGGCTGTCATTGCAGTGTGTCCCACACAGCTGAGACCACTCAAAACCACACACACACACACAAACACAAACACACTTTTATGGTTTGGGCATCATGTTTCACTAAACTGCTGAGTTCTCTAGGCTGTAACTAGGGCTGTTTTAAGAGCTGTGGTTGAGTATAAATGCGCATTTGTGTGTCTGTGTGTGTGTGTTCGCATCTGTCTATACGACTGCAGTAAATGCATGTATGCAATATATTAACATTTTCAGATTGTGGGGGCGTATGTTATCCTGCCTCTAGCAAGCTTTATATATTTTCAGAGGGTCTACTAGGCCAAAAATACTTGACATTTGACAATGACATTTTGGCATTTCAAGCTACACGATCTACAAAAAAAAAGTTACATATACATATAGATTTTTGTCAAATAATACCATGTGACTTTTCCATCACAGATCTGGTATTATTCTATTCTTGGCACCCTTGTGGTCTGTCTCACTGAAAAGACCAGAGCTATTCACAATAATTTCAGTATCAAAAAGAATGAGTTTGACTCATATGAAAATAAATGAGTTTGAGAAAGTGCTGGTATTTGCACAGATGAGTGTATGTAGTGTACTGTGTTATTAAGATAATTATCACACTATCTTGTATGGAGTCCTTAAATCCCACTCATATGTCACTAAAGAACTACTGTTCAGCATAAGCCTGATTAAAACTGGGAAAATGACTCCGTGTCACCGCCACAGAATTCATACAAAAAAAACCTGTCAGTTATATAAACTTCTAAACAAACATGTTTTAACATGCTACTCATTTATTTAATTGAATGATTCAGGTTTAGCATAAATGTTGCTCTGACACCACAAGCATGCATGCTAAGTAAAATGTGAGTCCAAAGAAAGCAGACCCGCCCACCTCTGAAGGGGAGCCACAGTGCCAGCAAAGACTTGTGTGGCTAAATCAGCAGGGGTTTACCCATCTTGCTAGCTCAGTTTGGGTTGGATGTCCATCCAACAAGGCTGCTTCTCTGGTTACAAATGTGTCTCGGTAAGCATCATTCTTGCTCAGAAACTCGAGGTGGTGGGAGCAGCAAAAATAAGCAAAAGAGAAAGCTGGAGAAGGTGTAAAAGAAAAAAAGAAAAAAGAATTCTATTAAAAATTTCAAACCAACGCATGGATTCCATCTACAGAGGCCTCAGGATCAGGTTTCTCTACAAACAGCAGCCCATTTATCCAAAAGTGTGTGGTTAAGAACAGAAAGCAAAATTGCTCTCAGAAAGAGACACACATGTGCAGTAGCATGCATAAACACACACATTAATGCACATGGGAATGTAAATTATATGTATGTGTGTGTGGGTGTGGGTGTGTATGTATGTATGTATGTGTGTTGGGGGATGTATAGGATCCTACATACAGGCATGCTAAATCTCTGTAATCCCAGAAAGAGACTTCCCTTCTACTACAGTGTGGTTTACAAGACCATTCTTTATTGATGATACATGAGCACCCTCTAGTGTTGATATACAAGACTTCACTTATGATACCAATAGGTAAGCCTAGCATAAACTGCATGCTGCCCTCCCAACAAACAACCCAAATAATAATGTGTGCCTAATGGTGGTTTTTCTCACTCTACTCCTCCAGACATCTCTGTGCACCAAACTTTTCATTTTTGATTTTTAAAGTAATGAGCTGTTTTACAGCTTGTATTTACTCCAAATGAGGAATCTTTAAATTATAAAAAAAAAGTTTCTCCACACTGTTCTGTCTTTCAAACATCTGCCACAGACCACTAATAAAATGTCTGAGGCTGGAAAAGTACCTATTTATTATTCTAGTGATTGAGGAGTCAAAAAGTTGAGCTTTTATGGTTGCTAACAGAACACTTTCAGACAGAATTATGATTTAAGCAAACATTTAACATCTCAGTTGGCACTTGAGGCTATTTTTCAACCCTGAGAACTAAAGTTCAGCTGAGTGCCAATATCAACATATTAACCATGTATATCACATAACTGAAGCAGTAATGAAAACAAGAAAGAAATCCCCATGGTGAACATGATGAACCATAGTGAATGGACAAAGGAACATCTCCATCAAAGTCCTGGGAAAATGTCCGGCAATGTGGGAACATTTGCTTGTTTCCTAACCCTTCCTCCCACAGCAGTGTCAGTAACACTACTTTAAGCCACGGTTCGCATAAATATAATTAGTTGTTGGATAGAATCTGTAGCATGGGAATATATTATAAAGCCCACATAGCCTCAGCGAACCATTTGGAAAGGACACAACGTACATATGAGACAATGTGAAAAAAATATAGCAGGCACAGTGGCAGTAAGCTCACACATAAAACACCAGACGGCCCTAGTTTTATCCGTCTTTCCACCACAGAAGCAACCCTCACTAAATTGAACACAGGGTTCTTTTAAGAAGCACTTTTTCTGAGCAAAGTCTACCCAAGGCATCAATTTTAGTTTAAACAACTAGTGTTTTTCATGTCAACCAGAACACTTGCCTTTAAAATGACAAGTTGGTTGAAAAAAAAATCCAATCCACATTTTAAAAAACACAGTATGGTCATTAGCAATGATGTAGTTTATGTTTAAGACACATGGTGCTGCACTGTTTGGGGCAAATGTAATGGTCTGTTAAACCTGATTATTCTCAGAAGCCGTGGTTTACTCTGCAAATATAAACCCAGTGGCTGTGTCTTGCAGAAAGCGCCACTAGGGGTCGCTGTTTGTCAGGTTTATAGCAACCTTCTGCAGGTAGAAATGAGGTCTGGACTGGCTTATTGTAGGTGCAGTAGGACTTGCAGTTTTCAGTGCTCCTTGCCAGATCTTGACTGCATACCTGTGGTTTAGCTGGACCTGTTCTTGTCATGACAGAACAATGAAGTTAGCCAATAGCAAACATGTTGTATTACTATAATAGTAATAGCAAAACTAGACTGTAAATATTATGAATTATGAATTTCTCTAACTCATAAAGTACACGATTCTCATTTGATTTTATGCCAAAGCATCTTTTTTAAAATAAAGCAGTATTTTAAAAAAGACAGTTGAGCATACTGTTGTATCTGACTTCCTTATTAAAGGAACCAGACAACAATTACATCTTGGAACTCGTTGGATTAAAAGCACTCACCCAACCAACCAGTTCCACATTGCAGCACTATTTATGTTTGATTATAAGCTGAAGTATTTTTATGCTTTGGAATGCACATCATCTCTGTTGATCAGTTATGAATATGTCACATGGCTTTAACACTGGCAGCTTTATTTTCAGTTCAAGTTTGTGTGCTGATGTCACATGAACACCATGAATTTATACGGAAGTGTTCATCTTGCCCCTACAACAGAACACTATCTATTTTGTATATGACTCAGATGAGTGGTTATATCAAAGATGATTCCATATTATTTATTTGTAATTTTATTAACATATTTGATTTAATTAAATGTGAACATATTTTGGTGCTAGCATTATTATTTTGTTGGTTTTATAGAATATATGGATGAAGAAGATTAAAAACAATTTTAGAAAGTTCACACATTATAACTTAACTGAAATACTCCCTCCACGACACAACACAGCCTTCAGTTTTATCTCAAGTGGGGATGTGTGAAAATGTATTATTATTATTATTATTACCTGCGAATCCTGATGTGGTAATGTTATACTGATGTATGTCTCCATCTGCTCAACGTACCTGACTTTGAGATGGTCTTTTGAGACACTCACAATGCCAAGCACACACAGCCGTTCATCTGTGCAGGCACTGTTCCTGCTGAGTAAAGTTGGGTGTGACCAGTGTGACTGATACGGTTTCCATTTGTCCACATTCACATAGGAGCAGTTTCCTCATTTTTGATGGCACTCCCTTTACTGACCTTGTGATTGGTTTATTTGCACATAAAAGATACTTATCAGTGACGCTTTAGTTTACTGCATGCAGAAACACTGTTCCACATTGCGAAGGACAGACACTGACCTGCCAGCTGCAGTGTTTATCCTTTTATAGGAAACACTATCTGTACAAGAATAGTGCCAGCAGACAGAATCCCAGGGATATCTACATGTTTCAAGGGGCAGGTGTGGACAAGTTTCAGTGCCGGGGACATATCTCAGATTTATTCCAAAGGATCTTTCTGAGGATATCTTTCAGGGTGGACAGCTTGTTCTTTGAGGACTTCTTGAAGGGTTGTGGATAGCTTTCCTCAGGTTTTACACACAGGGAATTCAGCAAGCATAATCACACACCAGCAGATGGCCTCATTTGACAACATACAGGAAGTATTACTATTGCTCTTTAATTTATAGTAGTAGGCCTAACACTGTATTAAGACAGTTTAGCCAATAATTAATTATTTTTTCTTTTAGTACATAACGTTTGTCTTTTGTTTTGCTTTTTAAAAATGAATTAATATCAGTCTAAAAGTACTTGGTGATAATATACAAATTAAAGGAACTAATACAATAGTATTGTAGACATACTCAGACATACAACAATACTCTTTTAACTGAACAAGAACACTAGATTTAGGGTAGGGCTAACTTAAAGGGGCATGATTCATTATTAACAACAGGTGTGAGATTCAACCGGATCAGCTGACTTGAGTAAGGAAGCTGTCAAAGTAAATAAAAACCTGTCTGGCTGCTCTTATGCTTGGAGCACCTTTGAATAAATGCATGTAGCGGAGCTGTGCGAGAGCTATTGAGTGTCCAGTCCTCAACTGCCGGTGTAGCAAAAATGATTAAAAAACTCTTCAACATCTTGGCTATTTTTGCCCTGCTTAGCCTGGCATATTTTGCTGTGTCTCTGCTCTACAGGAAAAACAGCAATTTAACTGTTTTTGCTGAGAAGTATCACCTGAAAAATAGAAATGGCACTTATTTCTGGATGGCAAAAGAACTTGTTCAACGGCTGGAAATGTGGGAAATGCAGACTCATGCCCCAAACGCCAGCCAAAAGAACATAGAGTTGCCAGCGCCAACTAACAAGACTTTAGAACTCTGCCCTGACACCCCTCCGCAGCTTGTGGGTCCTCTCAATGTGGATTTTAATCATAAACAGACTTTGGATGAGGTGAGAGAAAAGGTCGGTTCATCTCTTCAGAAAGGAGGAAGGTACAAGCCACCAGATTGTATCTCCCGACAGAAGGTAAGTGAATGAATGAAGGGACAAATGAATGAATTAATAGAATAAACAATAAAAGTATCAATGACTCAATAACCAACAGATTCGGAAGGGTGTACTATGGTTTCAGATACCTGGAATCTAATTTAAAAAGAGGTGTCTAAATGTACAATCTGTGAACATAAGTACAGTATGTACAATTTGTACAATGTTAACTTTAGTTGGGGGGGGGGGGGTTGTGTATCTATCATTTGATTTTAGGCGTAACACATTTTTACACATTATATCCAGCTTTATTGAATTAATTAATTTTTTTTCTTTTTTTTTTAATTAAATAAATCAAAAAATCTGAACTCAAAGTGAAAAAGTGGATACTTACAGGACACTTTTCACTGATTATTGACACTGAACGGTTTAAAGGGAAAAGAAAACACCAAAGTCTTAATGATTCTTTACATTAAAGCAAAATTATTCTTTTGATCTGTTTAGGTGGCGATAATCATCCCCTTTAGAAACCGGCATGAGCACCTGAAGCACTGGCTTTCTTACCTTCATCCTATACTGATGCGACAGCAGGTGGACTACGGCATATATATTATCAACCAGGATGGAGAGGGAGTGTTCAACCGGGCTAAACTGATGAATGCAGGCTATTTTGAAGCACTGAAGGAATATGATTATGAGTGCTTTGTCTTCTCCGACATAGATCTGGTTCCTATGGATGACCGTAACCTTTATAGATGTTTTGACAACCCCCGGCACTTGGCTGTAGCAATGGACAAATTTAACTTCCACTTACCCTATAAGACCTACTTTGGTGGGGTCTCATCACTGTCCAAAAGCCAATTCTTGAAGATAAATGGCTTCCCGAACAGTTACTGGGGCTGGGGCGGTGAGGATGATGATATCTATAAGCGAGTTGTCTTCCATGGAATGTCCATTTCTCGACCTGACTCTGTGATTGGAAAGTACAGGATGATCAAACACAAGAGAGACTTGCACAATGAGGCTAATCCACAAAATCCAGTCAAACTGAGAAAAACCCATTTGACCATGGACAAAGATGGGATTAATTCCCTCAAATACACAGTCAAGGAGATTGTGAAGGATGTACTGTATACTTTTATCAGTGTGGATATTCAGGCCCCGCCAAGCTGAATGAGGAAGGAAGTCCGTATAAACTATATGAATATGAAGTACAGAGATTCTATCCGGTTTTTCTCAGTTACTGTGGCACAATCCTTGAATGACCATCAATGTTTACAAAATAAAATGTGAAATTCACATTTCTCATTGCTTTTACACAAAAGTCAGATTTAAAGCCATCTTTAAATGAGCCACCAATGCACTGAGCTACTCTTTGTGATGGATTCAGACACAGAGCAGTAAAAAGTCTGCTCATAAATAAAAATATGTGGTGAATATCACAGAGATATTCTGGGAATTGTTGCATCACAGGGTTTGTGGCCCTGCCCCTATACTTAGCAGGTTTATGTTGTGTAATATGTATGGTTTGGGGGTATAGTTTTACTACTTTTGTGCACCGTGCCTTTGGGCTATGTTAATCAAGTTTGTGGCCATGTGCTGTCTGTAGGTGATGTATTGGGAGCGTCCTATAGGGTTAGAGTCTGTGTATGTTACTTTGCCTATAGCACTTTCACAATAGGCCTTTGACAGTATCTGTAACTTGTTCTTGCTTTTTCTATAACACTTTTTGAAAAATGATCACTTCATTGTTGTCATTGTTCATGGTTATTATTTAATTTTGAGGAATTTGTTAGTCGCACCATTCATGATAAGTTAGAGCGGGCGTATGAAAGAAAATCTTTGGTGTGAAAAGATTTAACATTCCGATCAGTCGTCAAGGCTAGTAACAGGTCTGGAATTATATTATCTTGTCAGGATTGTTGTGCAATACTGGTTTAGTGACAAAGGTTCCAGTGACAGTTCAAGTGTCTCGCAGTGTCATTGTTTCCAGTGGTGCAGAAAGGAATCCTATGAGGATGAGTGTGTTTTTATTGTAAGGAAGTGGGACAGATTATTGTAAATTGTCATGCTTTGCATAATGTGGCAGATGCATTATTGCACTTGTAATTTTACAATGTTTGTGACTTATTTTTGTGTGGGGAATATAATTGCTAACTTAAGGTGAGGGTGTTGTGCGCTACGTGCCTCCCTGTGTTTTTCTCTGTACACTCTGTAAGTGCTCCTCATTCAGGATGATTGGTGGCCCTGCCTACAGATCTAAGGGCGGCTGGAGAAGCAGGATCCCATCACTTATCATCTTTTGCTCATTATTCTGTTATTTGAGAATGAAGTTTATAGTGTATATGTATATATATTATATATATATATATTGTTTTTTTCATGGGTCAGCCACACATTGGACATTAGCCTTCTTCCTCCATCTATTTGTTTGCCAGATAATTAATAGCACTATTTGTAAAATCATTTTGCTTTAAAAAATAATGATCAGGTTACATTGTTCGTACGTTGGCCGTAACAATTGTAAGGCCGAATATCACATGTGAAGGGGATGACTTGGAGGCCAAAGAGGAGTGTTAGATGGCCAATGAGGTGGTGAAGGGTTTTTTTTATTTTGTTTCTCATTTAAACAGTTTCTTATTTTCTTTAATGTACAATGCAATAACTTTTCTGTTACAGACATTACTTCTAATGTACTCCATTGCCGCTCACTGTGAATACAGAAGATACTGGAAAGGTGTACACAAACTGTGAAAAACCTCTGAATAGTCTTACAGTTGAAACCTGTTTTGCATAAAATGTTTTGATGGATACTATTACATTGGCTAAGGGGTATTTAACACAATTCCTCAGACTTTTGACTGTCCGGGGTAAGAATAAAGAATGAGAAATTAACTTTAGTTGCAGTGATGCACTGCTTGGCGTGTCTTTTTATTTCTGACAGATGTGCTTAAACAATTGCGAGGAACTGTAATTAAATGTATGATCAAGCACTGAGCTTCTGGGTGAATAAGACAAAATTAAACTACTAGTAAATTACAAAGTACATTTGCTCAGTGAAATTGATGTTAAAGTGTTTTTAAATGCATCAAAGGTACTCTTAATGCGAGATTAAAGATTAAGATTGTTTTACTGGTTTCCTTTCTCCCTCTGTGCAGTTACATTTCTGGTAACAGGTACATTTGGAGGTCCTAGGGCTCAGAGAAATGTGACCTGACAGGTCAGCCAAGCAGAAGACACTTTAGAAAGAGTATTCTATAGCCCTCTGCCCAGAATACACACACTCACAAACACAACCATATATACATACGTAGTGTATCCCCCATCCTGACCCACCTCCTAATGAATTTTTCAGCATTGTTTCTCTTGTAAATGGGCAGTGGGGGGGCAGCCCACGTTAATGTTTAGCTCATGATGATCAACTGATTTTTATCACTTGTTTAATAGGGGATACATACCAGTTGTGGTTAGGACAAATTCAGTTAAGTGAAATGTTAATCCAATATTGAATGCTAAATTAAAGCCATTGTACTGTGTATCAGACCGCTAACTAACTTCCTTGATCTTGTATCCTTAAAGGAAAATTGAGTCATCACTCATCTTGTGATTTATAATTTGATTCATTTTCCATTTTGCTGCTGACAAGCTCCCATTCAGTTTGTTTTTATCAAATATCTTGTTTCCTGTCGTTTTATCATTTCAAAGTTAGAATTTGTCACAGTGTAGCAACACATGCCTGCTCGTGCTTTATATGGGTGAACTTTAAAACCTGATTTATATGTTTGACTCTCTGTTGTGTTAAAGCGTCCCTCAGCACCAGATTGTACTGCATGCACTTGTTTTCATGGGGCACTGGACAGTCACAGAGTCAATAGCTTGTCTGTTGGTGAATTACTGACAAGTGAAACCTTTACATGAGGAATTGATGTGTTTTGAGGATGTGTATTAAAGGTCACTTTGCACTCATCCTCAAACAGATGAATGCTCCGGTTGATGGTTGTAAATAGGGATGTTTACAACCTGACAAGACCGATTGAGGCTGAGGCTCTAAGTGTGTGCGCATCGGCAAAAAATTGAATTTGTGTCTGTGATCACACGTGCATTTCAACATGTAGGTTAATGTGTGGGGCTTTTTTTCCCTGTATAAATGTTTTACTCCATCAGTTCAACTCCAATCACATCTCTCACACACTGTGTCAGGAAACCACCACCGCCCCCTAAACGCTCTCCCATCCTCCTTCCTGCCCAGCCCCCTCTTTTCATTGGTTGACCTAGTGGAGTTACTATGGGAACGACTGTAGAGAGGCTGCCACGCAGAATGTGGGGTACAGCTTTTGCATGGCGCTTAGGGCTCCATCACACAAACACACACACACACACACACACACATACACACACGTTTATCAGGGCAAGGAAATCCTACCTAGACCCTAGATCAAGATATATTTTTTAGAACTATCAGTATGATTCATTCTATTCTTTCTGTGCTAGCATTTTCCTGCACCAGCATCTGTAATTCAGTGGGTCGTTCTATAGAGGGGTTTTTAAAGTGATTGCTTTGAAGATATTTCAAATCTACTCTGGTAGAGTATCTGGTAGCTAATGTTAGCTGATGTTAGCAAACACGTGTCTGATATAGCTGTAGGCCTTACTGACTTTACTGAGTCAATTTGCTGATCTAAAGACTCTTATTACGCTACGTTTTAGTATGCCATTATCCCATTATTGCTATGTGGCTGCTGTTCATCAAATGTTACGCCAGCTAAACGCTTCATTTAAGAGCACTGAAGCCAGACAAACCCTCACTCACTCACTCACAATAAATCTTCCCACTTTTTCCTCGTGCATTTCTTCCTCACTACCTCCCTTGTTCTCCTCCCTTCAGTGGTTTGTATAAGAACTTCATTGTTCAGCACAAACAAAATCCATGCACTAGATTTATGCACCAAAACAAACACGCACACATGGACTCAAACATGGCTCACAATGAGGATGAGTGTCCACATCCAACAAACAAGCAGGAGCAGATTAATGATGAGATCAGCTGGCGCGCACACACACACACACACACACACACACACACAGGCGTGCACCAGCATGCACCGCTCTCACTGTCAGCATCACTAGCTTTGATCTGGTGGGTACAAGTGAGTGTTATGGTCTTACGTAAGGCTTTTACATAAACCTCAGCGTGCAGAAATGGAGAGAGAGAGAGAGCTGGATAGAGAAGGAGGGGGTTTGCTGCACCATTACAAAGGGGATTCGCACTGCACCAAATCCTCCTCACACTACACATGGATGCACACCCACTCCACAACAACACACAAGCTTTCTCTAGCAACATGTGTCTTCCTTGAAACAATAAGACCCTCCCTTTCATCTATATTCAGGACACATAGACAGGTTCCATATCCACACGCATCAGCTGTGCATCAGCTGCCTGTCTTTGTCATCAAATGGGCTGTCTGTCCCTGTCTCTATGGGTCTTTTCCCATGAGAGACCAACAGCAGACAATGACACATCCGTCAAGCTTTCATCTCAGAGATCAATAAAATGTATTGATAACCTATTACTGCCAAGCCAAGCAGACCTCTCTCCAAGTGCGACACCACAACAAAAATGCCACATGCTGCACATCAACAAAAGCATCTCTGTTTCTCACCCTCTCTCCCACCCTAGCCTACTCCTTGGGGATTTAGGCCACCAGGATGTGGGGGTGGAAGGATGGAGGAGGGGAGTTGAAGAGAGGAGGGCTCTATCTAGTTTTGCTCTAATTATACAAGTACACAAAGCCTCTGATGTTAAGGTGTATGGGTTCTTGTGTAAATGTGGTCACAAAGAGTCTGGAGCTCATCATCTATCAGCGCAAACACAGTTTTATTCATTAAATATGAAAAGTGGAAAGACTTCACACCGTGAAAAGACAGACGGTAACAAAAAAGAAGGAAAACGTAATGTGCTTTTCACTGCAGCGAATGATCACATAAAGACCCAGATATATAATCAGAAAGAAAAGAGAGAAGTATTTGTCTGAAAAGAAAGGAACTGAGACAGGTGGCAACATGGTGGCCTCTGTGGTTGATGCCATTACTGTGTACATGCCAGTGCGATAGATCAAGGTACTCAAATGTCCGGCTTTCATTTTCATTATGTAATTCTTGGAAGAGGTGAAGAAACAAGTTACTTACAAAACTATGGCACGTTGGACATCAACCATGGAGGGCGCCATATAAACAAAACATATGATGTATAATGCTCCTTTTCCAGTTCATAGTTCCTTACTCTCTCTTAAGCTTAACATGATTGTAATTTGATTGGAGACAGTGTAGTTTCCCATTTATAAAGCAATGTCAAATTGTGATTTTTGGACTCATCGGGCAACTGTTTTGGTCAACAATCCATGAGCATCACCGCTACTGTGTTTTTTATTTACCGGGAATACTTCAAAGGTTGGGATTGTTGCCCATCTCAATCACCCAACAAGTTACCATATGTCACCATTCCTTTCCATCGAATCACTCTTCTGTCAATCAGCACTCCAAGGCAGGAAGAATGAAGGTGATTGAACAATAAACAAGGAGCACAGTGTAGGCAGAGAAAACATAAAGGGACATGATCATTCCCTGCTCCCCATATGACCATTAGCCTGTCCTTCTTTTATCGGGTGAGAAACACACTTACTGCAGACCTGGGATCAGGTTACCCCATGGCTTGTCCTACACTTCACCATGTGGAGGCTGAAAAGATATCTGAACCTGGAGCAGTGTTGTGGATCAATCATTACATTCTAAATGAGATGGAAAGCTATCATGAACTAGAATGACCCTCAAGTGTCATTGGTACCCTTGTGGTTAGGATTTGAGAAAACCTGCATCATCTCGAATGGCTTTTCCTATGAAAACCCCCCTCTTTAACCGAAGGGTAGGGAACACTCTGCTCCCTGTAACTTGTCTCACTGAATCACTGACAAAGGCCTTTTAAGACTGCAATACACCCCCTCATTCTTAAAACAAGTGGTGCTTTGCAAGGCTGCAACACTGTGCAGTAGTTTGTCTTCATTTTTCAGAACTTAGAAAACAGTCAACTCCACCATTTGTCGTGCCCCCACAAAAAAGGGACAAAGAGGAAAACAGACCGATACAGGAAAATATATGCTGACCAATGATCTACAATGATGTGAAGCTACATTCAGATTCACACACAGCTGCGGTGGTTCCTTGAATGAAGTTGTACAGTGTTTATCAGTACAACAGCCAGGAGAATAAGGGTGAAGGACTTTGACATGGTTTAGCATTAGTCCCCACATTTTGCTTTACATCTTAAGCTGTGATCCAATAAATTACATGACTCTTTATCCGAAGCCCTGACAGAATTTCCTCACAGCCTGTTTAGAAAACCACTTGCAGGCATATTCTGGCTCTGTAAAACTGGCTGGCAGCGAGGATGCCTACCTGTCATCCTCTCACATCAGCCTATACAGTATGTTGGTTGAGAAAAACAGAAAGAACATAAAGCAGAGTATTAAGAAGCTGGTGCGATCACAGTTAAAGATCCATACAGTATATGACTTCGGAAAGGAGGAGCCTATAAAAACAGTATGAAATCCAGTAAAGTACTAACTAGAAAAAATGTGTTGTTTGTGCATGTGTCCTTAACGAAGAAAGTCATCTAGTGTAGCTACAAAGACAGTGCCAGAGGTTGAACAGTGTGTGTAACTAAGATCATTCAGTATTAGACAATGTTCCCTGACCTTTGCGCCTTGTATGTGTGGCACTGCATGCAAAGAGGGTGAGAAAGTGTTTGTGTCCGTGTATGATTTTGGACGTGTGTGTTGTGTGTGTAGTTTGTGTGTATCAAAGCATCAGTGCAAGGGATCCCTCCAGGTTGAGTATTGCGATAGCTTTGTAGGTTTCCATTGGTAATTCAACAGTTGTAAATCCCAGAGATTTAAGTCCTATGGATGAACTTCAGATGATGCAGTGATCCAAAAGCAACAGGCTGAACAGGCCAAACTTAAAGTCCATCGCAATAAAAAAAAACAGTCAAAACAGAGGTGGTCTCCCCTCCAACACACATAGGATATTGTGTGGTCTTCTGCAGGGC